AATCTTGGTATAATTACTGCTCTAAGTGGGTCACCCTGTCAGCTTAAGGCATGTTTTACAATCTCCATACTCCAGTTAACTTTTAATCGATCACTAAATTAGATGACGATTATTTCAATAATAGATTAATCCGATTCATTGTTTCAGCATTTGTAGAGATCAATGTTTTTTTCTTTTCATCAGTAAAAACAAGAGTTAGACCAGTTTGATTTGTTTGTTAACAATTCTTTTTTTAAAATAGAGACTTCGTTATCATTGTGTCATTTTTATCATGTAAATCGCGGATGTAAAATCAATACTGGCTCCAAGAATCAGCCCAAAAATATCAGCAGCACATACTGGGGATTGGTTAGACTGATGTCAAAATAATCAGTATCGGACATCGGCCTTAACAAATCAGTGTCACTCCAACTCTTATAAAGATGTCTGAAAGAACTTATTAGACTGAATTAGAATAAAGCTAAAAAGCTACTGGTAAAAAAAAAATAAATTGATCATGTGAGGCAGATATCTAGCTGTTTTTCCACAATGCTTTGGCTGACGTAGAACCTTTGAGGAACTTGGCAGCATATTGCCCTTGGGAAGCTTTGCCCCCGGTGCTTTATGCATTGCACAAAGCAGGTGAAATAATTATTTTTTTCTTTTCCAGCTTTTATTGTCATTGTCACAAGTGCAGAGCAATGAAATGAACTCTGTATTTAACTCATCTCCTTGGGGAGCAGTGGGCTTCCATTGTGCGGCGCCCAGGGAGCAGTGTGGGGGTTAAGGGTGTTGCTCCAGGACCAAGAGTGGCAGTCTGTGGGAGTGGGGCTTAAACTCAGAACCTCTGGATTCCAAGCGCAATAAACTAACCACTAGGCCCACATTCCCCTAAATAATGGAGGAGGAATAAAAATAGTAACACTTTGGAATGATTATTGATTAATGATAGATTGTAATCCTTGATAGTGCCCATAAAATAACCATTCCACCTTGGAAAAATAGTACCCGACTTAACTGGTCAAAAGCAGCAACTTAATATCCCAATAATGGCTACAATGACTGACCCATAATGGCAGACATTCAGCAAACAGACTCAACTGCTTGCTCTATTTTGACATCTGTAAATGATTTACATCAAATTCATAGCAATGATGAGAAATAATGACTTAATTTATCAACCTGGTGCTTGATGCTGAGAAATATTGATTATCTATAGGGAATAAAGACCGAATGCAAACCTTCTCTTTGGGTTGTACAGCAGACTGAGTCCTCATCCATTCATAGCACATTCATGCAGAGAATGTTGTGAGTCAAACTGCCCCAAAAGATCCAAACACATCTAAATAACCTGAGGCTATAAAATCTATATGACCACAGTGAACGTGCAGCAGACTGATTGTAGATGATCAGAACCGTGCTTTAATAAAAAGGTGTAAATTACATCACTGAATGTTCCACTTCACTGCCATGCAGCAGCTGATACCTTTATTTTTGTGCAGTTACATAATGAATGTGCATCGCCTATATGTCAAATTATTTGAATCTGTACAGAATTTTCAGTTTTCAGATAATTCAAACCTTGTATCCATTTCTTTGTTGTGTTTCTCTACATTACAGAAACTAACTTCTCTGTGTTTGTCAGGTAAACAGGGGCAGACACTCCTCTGTATTATTGTTGGTTTGTCTGTTTGAGGACAAGACAGATTAGAATCCTGCAAACTGAGCACAACTCTGTGGTTTATCAATGTTAAGGCAGAATGAAAACTGGTGATACGCCTAAAGAAGCAGTCCCCGCTTTAGCAACAACAAAGATGACAGCAAGAAAGAAAGAACTCTGTAAACCAAGAGAAGGCTATTCTTAAAATAGCACAGTCATGCTCTGTTTGTATAACATTACTATAATGTTATAAGAGCATGATTATAATTTGGGTTGATACATAGTCTTAAGAGAAACATGGAGTTTTTAGGAAGTGAAATGCATCCCAAATGAACTTGATCAATTGGAAACATTCCGGTCCAGTGTCTCTTCTGTTTGGTAGCTCTAAATCTCTGTTTTAACTGGCTGTTGGACATTCCAGAATCTACCTAATGCACAATCATCTAATGATCCCCCTGCTCCTGTCCTCCAAACCTCGCCATGCCAGCCGCTCCCAAGCTAAACATGTTTATATGATCACTGATCTGCATTTACACCAGTTCTTATTGCAATCATACAGTTCTTTCTTGGCGATGAATTTAAAGCTGTTTGTAAAATGCATTTCAGAATTCATAAAAAAAAAAAAACAAAAAACACCATTCTGATCAGTAAGCCAGTCGTTGTTACTGGAATCAGTCCAGTACATCATTAGCAACAAACTGTTCAACTGAAACATCCAGCCAATGGGATTTAATTGTGTAATTTCTCTACATTCATGATATTTTAGTTGCCTTTTTAAACATAAGATACTCCAAATTTGTTTGTCACACCAAAACTTTTTCTACTTAAAGTCATATTGAAGCACCACTGTCTGCCAGTGATTACAGTCAGCCACTTGGATGTCTTTTGATTGTCTCGAGCCAGGATCTATTTATTTTCTGAAAAAGGTTCCTTTTTTCTCCTCTTTACTAAATGCATTGAGAAATATAGACTTTCGTGCATAAATAGTGATAGAACAGTAAAATCCTTCATGTTGGATTTAAACCTTCTATGCTAATCCAATAATCTGCAATTTGTTCTTACTTTCACAATCAATGTTTATCAATTCTAACATTTGTAGTTGTGAAATCAGCATCAGGAGGTCAGACCGCGAGGAAACCAAAAATCAGTACCAGTCTGTGAAACCCAGTTTGGTGCATGTAGATAAAGTTGTTCCTTTTTTTAAGCTAATCTTTCTCTTTTGGAGGAAGACTGCAACCTCACTGGGTCCACCAACTGTCTGCTTGTGCAGAGTTGCTGCTCCTAGCTGACTTGTGAGCAGTTTTTTAGAAACTTATCTCCAAAATAAAAACAAATACAAAACAAAAAATATATCTTGGCCGTAATGCACATCTACACAATTAAAGGGAGTTTATAACCCAAGTTAGCAGGACTTAAAACTAAGCTGACATTTTTCATTGAGCTATTAAAAGTAAAGTTCTCTCAAGAACATCGACAGCATCATCAGAATAGCCTGCCTAAAACACTAAAACAAACAACAAAAATAATTCCAGGAAGCATAACTGATCATTTTTGGTTCTGCGGCTCAGATGATGAGATGACCAGAAACTCTAAAAGTTCACTCCTCGGCAGAGCCGTGATAAGAAAGACGTCTCCTCCATCTGACAGTGCAGTCCCTGGAGGTCGTCTGGAAACCTGAGCTCAGAAAGCCCAGAGTGGAGACAGGTCAGAGGTCACATGACAGCTAGTGCTGCTGTCATCACGGTTGTCAGGCAGGTCAGCGGTGAAACAGCACTGCACCTTTACCCTGATACAACTTTTAGCTCCATACCTGTCCAAACTGCCAACTGTGTCACAACAGCCTCAGAGAAGTAGGTCGCCTGCATCTTTCTTTGATCAGCATAAGATCAGATTGATTCTGAGACAGTAATACAATAAATTTTATCACTAAACTAAAAACCAACCACGGTGTGATGGTTTGCTACAACAATCTGACCACCGTGTTCTTTCAGTCCCAAGAAGGGCTGTTTCATTGATTTCATTGCAAGTTTTTCAGTTTAAGTTTTTCAAAGTTTTATAATGTTACTCATTTCAATAAAATAAAGAAGACATTATGAAATTTTAACTTATGAAGAGTGAACTTCCTATAGGTTGAAGTGCAAAGTTCTGGTTAATTGATCCGTCACATTTGTTTATTGAAGCAAATAAGACTTTTCTTTGTTAGATTTATCTGTTAAATCCAGTTAGGAAGTAAAGTAAATTTTAAATGCTTCCTTAAGGTAGAGTTTCTTTTTTTACCAGTTCACTCAACTTGTAATAATTCAAACAAAACCTTGGAAACATTCAATGTTTAAATAAACCCAAAGCTTGGAAGCTGGAGATGCTCCAATAGTTGAAGGAAACCGACACTTATTTTAAAGTATAAACACAAAATTTGGTTAAATTGAGAGTGATTCACTGGTTCATTAAAATTATGTTTAAAAGGGATGTTTTTATGCATAGTTATGTATAAGCCATAAACTACGGAAGAGGATTAGGGCCACTGGAAAAAAAAGAAAAGTAAACTGATTTTTAA